TCCTACAGGTACCAGACCCTGCTGGTCAGTTGGTGGTGGAGGTGGATGCTTCTGACGTAGGGGTGGGGGCCATCCTGTCACAACGCTCTGGTGAGAATCAGAAGCTCCACCCCTGTGCTTTCTTTTCGAGGAGATTGAGTCCGGCGGAGAGAAACTACGACGTGGGGAACCGGGAGCTTCTAGCAGTCAAGTTGGCGTTGGAGGAGTGGCGACACTGGCTTGAGGGGACAGAACTGCCATTTCAGGTTTGGACCGACCATAAGAACCTGGAATACATCAGGTCGGCACAAAGACTGAATTCCCGGCAAGCCAGGTGGTCGTTATTTTTCACCCGGTTTAATTTTTTCCTCTCCTACCGCCCGGGCTCCCGCAACGTGAAGGCCGACGCTTTGTCCCGGCAGTTCGGGAGGGAGGGAGACACCTGCGGTATCCCGGACACTATTCTTCCTGCTCCTCGAGTGATCGGTGTTCTCGCTTGGGAGATTGAGGAGAGGGTTAAGACTGCGTTGGTGGACCAACCCGGTCCTAGTTCTTGTCCTCTTAACCGTTTGTTTGTGCCTCAGGTTTTGAGGGCTGAGGTGCTTCAGTGGGCTCACAGCTCCAGACTTTCCTGCCACCCTGGGATTCAACGTACCAGAGGGATGGTCTTGCAGCGGTTCTGGTGGGCTACGCTGGAGGCTGACACCCGGGAGTTTGTGAACGCCTGTCCTGTGTGCAATCGGCACAAACCCTCTCACCAAGCGCCAGCTGGCCTCCTTCATCCATTACCGGTTCCACGTCGCCCATGGTCACATATTTCGTTGGACTTTGTGACTGGTCTTCCACCGTCCCACGGACATACTGCCATCTTGACGGTGGTGGATCGGTTCAGTAAAATGGCTCACTTCGTACCCCTGCCTAAGATCCCGTCAGCTAAGGAGACGGCTGAACTTATGCTTCTCCACGTTTTTCGCCTTCACGGACTGGCGACTGATGTGGTTTCCGACCGGGGGCCCCAGTTCACCTCTGTGTTTTGGAGGGAGTTTTGTGAACTGATCGGGGCGACGGTCAGTCTCACCTCCGGTTTCCATCCACAGGCCAATGGTCAGACTGAAAGGAAGAATCAGGAGATGGAGACCACTCTCCGCTGCATGGCTTCCGATCATCCTACGACCTGGTCTAAACAACTCCTGTGGGTGGAGTATGCCCACAACACACTCATCAGTTCCGCTACTGGTCTTTCCCCTTTTCAGTGTGCATACGGGTTTCAACCCCCTTTGTTCTCTGCATTGGAGAAAGAGGTTACCTGTCCGTCTGTCCAGGCCTTCATCAGACGTTGTCGGAGGACTTGGAGGCGGGCTCGAACTACTCTGCTTCAGTCTGCTAACCGGTACGCCACATCAGTGAACCGCCGACGCACCAAGGCACCTGTGTACCAGCTAGGCCAGAGGGTGTGGCTTTCCACTCAAAACATTCCCCTTCGGGTGGAGTCTAAAAAGTTAGCGCCCAGATTTATTGGACCCTTTGAGATCGTCAAGGTCATTAACCCTGCAGCAGTTCGACTGAGTTTGCCCCGGAACATGAAGATCCATCCCACCTTCCACGTGTCTAGGATTAAACCTGTCCGGGAGAGTCCTATGATTCCCGCCGCTCCCCCACCACCACCCCCTAGGATGATCGATGGGGGTCCGACCTATACCCTTCGTCGTATACTTCGTTCCCGACGCAGAGGAAGAGGGGTTCAGTATTTGGTGGACTGGGAGGGCTATGGTCCTGAGGAGAGGCAGTGGATTCCTGCTCGTCACATCCCTCAACCCTCAACTCATCCGGGACTTCCACCTGCGCTACCCGGAGCAGCCTTCTAGGACCCACGTTAAGCCGGGGGGTACTCGTCGGCTACGGACCGGGGGCTTCATCGAGGAGGAGGGGGAGGCGTCTTCAGTCGAGGAGGACGAGGATTTCCAGGAGGGGGAGGCCGAGAGAGCATTCTCAGATGAGTATTAACCTTTCCCATACCCCCACCTTCCACCCGGTGTCTGTAGGTTTTTTGTTGATTTTTTATTTATTTGTTTTTTTCCCCGTAGGTTTGTCTTGGACGTCGGGAGCCGTCCATTAAGGGGGGGGTTCTGTCACAGTCTGCTTTCTCACTCACCTATTTTCTGCATTAACATTCCTTAGTCACCTGGTAGCCACACCCTGTCTCTCTTTCACTCTGTTACACCCATCAGCTCCAGTAGTATATAGGCCCACTTCACTCTCACCTCAGTGCCAGATCGTACTTTGCAGCATGCCAGTCTTTCCAGCATTACTTCCCAGATTGCTCTCCCGGTTCCGACCCTGCCTGTCCCTGACCTGCCTGCCTCGCCTGATTCCTGACCCTGCCTGTACCCGGACTATTCTGCCACGCCTGCTCCCTGACCCGGTCTGTACCTGCGACTCCCGTCTTGCCTTCTCCTGGAACCCTCGCCTGTCCCCGACCAGCCCTTTGCCTACTACCTGCCTTTTCGTCTCCTACCAGTTATTGCCTTCAATAAAGCTGGTTACAGACTATCCCTGGTTTCCCCGTGTTTTGCATTTTGGTCCTCAGCTCGTTTGTGACAAAAACATCTCCTTAATAAAACTGTATTTATTGACATTTCTCGCTCAAGACTGCATTTTACTGTACTACAATGAACACATCTTGCTGACGTTATACATGCATCCTCGCCCAATACACACTTTTACTGAATTGCGCCTGAATGCACCTTAACTGAAGTCACCTCCGTCACTTTCTACTGAGAGCTAACGTTAACTCTCCTGCAGATTCCAACATGAATGTACATCTATAGCGTTGCATAAGCATGAAAAATATAGTTTGCACTTAATTTTGTATAATAACAACTCGATGCTGTAACTGCAGACTATGAGTTTAAATTGGGTACACTAAGATTGTTGAAAGATAATTCATTGCTCACAGTAAAACAAACGGTGAAATACATACAGAGGAATTAATATCAAATAGGCGCATTAGTAACTTACTCTTACATAACCGCTGGGTTATAAAGTAGTAGGGAATAGTTTTAACGGAGGTATTTTACCGCACAACATGCACGGCAGGAGAGCCTCTGAGCCCCGAGGCGCATCACGGTGCCCGGGCCAACGCTTAGAGCGGCATAGGGGAACAGTTTGCGGAGTTGATTCTTAATACGTACTCTTAACTTAACCACTTTTAACAGAATTGCGTTGGTAAGCACTTGATGCAAACTTTGCCCAACAACTTTGCGCGAAGAAATAGACTACATGAGCACGACAGGGCTGAGTCTAACTTTAACAGCAGTAATGGCGCTGGCATGCATTAAAATGTCGATGTTTCGTTCAAAACAGTGAATACAAGAAAAGTAAATAACACTTTCTAGTTAAAAAGCAGTAATTAATAACTCAGGTGGTATGCTTACTTGTTTTACGATGGTTTGAGGAGGATCCAACGCAAACACGTGTCCAACTGCTGAAGAACCGCTGCAAAGAGGAACAGGAAGTCTCACACCGCGGTATTCTCGTTTGAGGGCGTGGCATGACCGTGGCGTTGACAAAAGCATTTTTATTACGTTTTCCAAAACGTATTTTTAAAGAAAGTTCAGAAAATGTGATATTAATTTACAAATTAATGAGTTCTTAAAACATGTTCTCATTGTTGCTTAAGTGTTACTTATTTAAACGCACATTGAAAAAAAACTAATTTAGGGCAAAAAATTGAGTTTTGTTGACCATCGGAACTGTTTTTACAGTGTAAAAAAGCTTTTGAAAATAACCGAATATTTCGATTAAGGTCAAAATATAATATTTGTAAATCTGACTCAGTGAGTCAGTGCCTCACCAGCCATGAACCTCACCGCACGTCACTGCTCAGAGCTAACCTGTACTGGAGAGAGCATGTGTTTAAAAAGCAGGAAATAAAAAAAGGAACTCACCTTGTGATAAACCTGCAAGGGAAAAAGCCTTTGAGCTCCATACTGTTTCAGAAATAATCCTTGATGTGGTTTAAACAGGATGGCGATTTATCACAGCAGAATTTAACTTTATCTCCGGTAGAATTCTGATCAGGCATTAGCTCCGCCTCCTCTTTTATTTTTTTTCAAGCTAAGGACCCAAAATCCTTGTTTCTCTAACAGCTGTAAAAGAGGGGTGTGAGCAGTATGAGGCATGGCTACAACGGCTGATCTGTTTGGTGTTTAAAGCAAAACACTTCACAGACATGTTTTGTATAGGTATGGCCCTACAATATATGTTTCCAATATAGCATGATAGGTCCCCTTTAAATGAGTTTAAAACAGAGAAAAGAGAGGCTGAAAACAGCATGATTATCACTTTATCGATTAATCAGTTAATTCATTGGTGATTTTCTTTTTACAAGCAAAGGTCCTACATTCAAAATGTTACTCAAGTGAAAGTAGAAAAGTATTCTCATCAAAATATAGTGAAAGTAGCGACAGTAAAAGTAGTCGTTGTGCAGATTGGTCCATTTCAGAATAATATATATGATATGTTTTATAATGATTGATCATGAAAGTGTTCTCAAAGCTGGTAAAGGTGCAGCTAGTTTGAATGACTTTGTATACTGCAGGGTAGCTTGTGGATTTACTCCAGGTGGAACTAAAGTCTGATTTAACACTTGATTATATTTCACATCATTCATCCACATCTGTGAAGTAACTAAAGGTACTAAATACATGTAGTGGAGGAAAAGTACACCATTTACCTCTGAACTGTAGTGGAGTAGAAGTACTAAGTAGCATAACATGGAAATACTCAAGTAAAGTACAAGTAGCTCAAAATTGTACTTAAATAAATCTACTTAGTGACTCTACACCTCTGAATATATGTGCTCACTTTGACCAAACATAGTGTTTTAATAGTAAAATGAAGAATATAATGAATCCTGATAGACATGACTAAACAGGTTTCAAAAGGGATTTAGACACTCTGTTATGAAACATATTATTGTCCCAAACGTTATAACATGAGTGCAGAATATTATATTTTACCTTTTATCGTCCTCCTGCGAGTTGTTGCGTTTCTGTTGAGGCGCTATGGGCGGACGTGGGACTTTCTTTGTGACTTTGATTTCACCTTCAGCCTAAAAGAGAGGGAGACAAGTGATTTATTATTCGTAGCGTCTGCAAACAGCCGCCACGCTTTCATTCTGAAAGTTGACTGTGGAGCGTCGGAGCCATACGGAGGATTAACAGTCTGCAGAATCAGCACCTGTGTCTCTTTATAGACTCCATAAAGAAACCCTTCATTAAAGCTCAGAGAACGTCTCGTCCTCGCTGGCAGGAGCAAAGCAATCACAGAATAAATCCATCAGTTAGATTCAACAGAGATCTCTAAAGGATCGCTTTCAAGAGAATAATCAGGTTTTGGTTCATTCAATCAGGGGACACCAAAGAGTGACGCACACAGCTGGGAGACCAGGGGACACTAAAGAGTGACGCACACAGCTGGGAGACCAGGGGACACTAAAGAGTGACGCACACAGCCGGGAGACCAGGGGACACCGAAGAGTGACGCACACAGCCGGGAGACCAGGGGACACTAAAGAGTGATGCACACAGCTGGGAGACCAGGGGACACTAAAGAGTGACGCACACAGCCGGGAGATCAGGGGACACTAAAGAGTGACGCACACAGCCGGGAGACCAGGGGACACTAAAGAGTGATGCACACAGCTGGGAGACCAGGGGACACTAAAGAGTGACGCACACAGCTGGGAGATCAGGGGACACTAAAGAGTGACGCACACAGCTGGGAGACCAGGGGACACTAAAGAGTGATGCACACAGCTGGGAGACCAGGGGACACTAAAGAGTGACGCACACAGCTGGGAGACCAGGGGACACTAAAGAGTGACGCACACAGCTGGGAGACCAGGGGACACTAAAGAGTGACGCACACAGCTGGGAGACCAGGGGACACTAAAGAGTGACGCACACAGCTGGGAGACCAGGGGACACTAAAGAGTGACGCACACAGCTGGGAGACCAGGGGACACCAAAGAGTGACGCACACAGCTGGGAGACCAGGGGACACCAAAGAGTGACGCACACAGCTGGGAGACCAGGGGACACTAAAGAGTGACGCACACAGCTGGGAGACCAGGGGACACTAAAGAGTGACGCACACAGCTGGAAGACCAGGGGACACTAAAGAGTGACGCACACAGCTGGGAGACCAGGGGACACTAAAGAGTGACGCACACAGCTGGGAGACCAGGGGACACTAAAGAGTGACGCACACAGCTGGGAGACCAGGGGACACCAAAGAGTGACGCACACAGCTGGGAGACCAGGGGACACCCAAAGAGTGACGCACACAGCTGGGAGACCAGGGGACACTAAAGAGTGACGCAAACAGCTGGGAGACCAGGGGACACTAAAGAGTGACGCACACAGCTGGGAGACCAGGGGACACTAAAGAGTGACGCACACAGCTGGAAGACCAGGGGACACTAAAGAGTGACGCACACAGCTGGAAGACCAGGGGACACTAAAGAGTGACGCACACAGCTGGGAGACTAGGGGACACTAAAGATTGACGCACACAGCTGGGAGACCAGGGGACACTAAAGAGTGACGCACACAGCTGGGAGACCAGGGGACACTAAAGAGTGACGCACACAGCTGGGAGACCAGGGGACACTAAAGAGTGACGCACACAGCTGGGAGACCAGGGGACACTAAAGAGTGACGCACACAGCTGGATACCAGGGGACACTAAAGAGTGACGTACACAGCTGGGAGACCAGGGGACACTAAAGAGTGACGCACACAGCTGGGAGACCAGGGGACACTAAAGAGTGACGCACACAGCTGGATACCAGGGGACACTAAAGAGTGACGCACACAGCTGGGAGACCAGGGGACACTAAAGAGTGACGCACATAGCTGGAGACCAGGGGACACTAAAGAGTGACGCACACAGCTGGGATCTTGTACTTGAGTAAAAGTAGAAGTACTCAGATCTTGTACTTGAGTAAAAGTAGAAGTACTCAGATCTTGTACTTGAGTAAAAGTAGAAGTACTCAGATCTTGTACTTGAGTAAAAGTAGAAGTACCAGAGTGTAGGAATACTCGAATGTTACTCAAGTTAAAGTAGAAAAGTATTAGCATCAAAATACAGTTAAAGTACCAAAAGTAAAAGTAGTCATTGTGCAGATTTGTAAACAAAACAGAAAAGGGAAGAACGCTTTAATAGTATTGCAACTACCTATAACTTCACCAAGTATAGGCGCTAGCGGCCGTAAACATTCCTTTACACCTTTGGATTAAAACTCCTAAATTATAATCTGGATGCGTACCCGAGGCATGTTGAGCACCAAGTGTCCGCTGGTTTGAGACCTCAGCGCCGTGGAGCTGTCCGGCTTCACTTCAGCAGGCAGCAACATCTGAAATATCTGCAGAGTAAATTATTCATAACGTTAATTAGCAAGATGAATGTTCTGATCCCGCCGTCCCACTGTGTCTAATGACTTTAATCATTAGCGGGTCTTTTTATAGCAACGCTTTCCAGAATGAGTGGAGGCAGAGGGACGAGAATAACTGGACATTAATCGCTGTCCCGTGAAGTCGTAGGAACACGATCCACACGGGAGGAATAACGGGGATAGGGTTAGACTCGTGGAGCTTTTTAGAGAGAGAGGGATTTGAGGGGAAACCGTGTGAATGTGAGATAGAGGAATCAGAATACTCCATTTATCCTGGTGGAAATCGGGTTCCCTAAAAGTTACTTGACTTGAACTTGCCCATCCTGACTTGAGACTTGACTCGGACTTGCTTGTGACTTGCAAAACAATGACTTGGTCCCACCTCTGGCACATTGTAATACCCTGACTGTCCTGTATCTCCGGCTGCTGTCAGGTGAGGTTTGATAAACACGCCTGCTGCTGTAAATGAGTTCATATTTAGGAGGAGTTTTAAAGGCCTCAGTTGATGTATCGCTGCGTATATCACCCCACCCGTCCAATCAGGCTGACCCCTGGCATAAAACAAGCATCCATAAATACGCTAACAGCTTGACGTGACATTCAGGACTTCAGACCTGCGGGGCTGTGGGTTCATAATGTGCTGAGAGGAAACAGGACCAGAAACAAACAGGGAACACTTCTTGGATGTATGCGCGGCCAAACAGCTTTTGAATCGGGCTGAAAGGTCGCTGTGGTCGGTTTGGAGGAGATTAAAACCCTCCACACGTTCCTTATGTTCTGCTGACGGGAACAGCTTGAAAAAGTACCCATGTTTTCCATGAGCCTGTATCTACTTGTCTTTCATCCTTTCATTATAACTAATGCTGTTGATGTGTTGTGATTTTAAAAAGGTGTCATCTATTAGCATCTTGACAACAGCTGGAAATGAGCAATGTCGGCGAAAGCTGCTCCATTTACTGTTTTCTGTGACAGTTGATCAATGGGGACTGTCCACGACACTATAAACAAATACAATCAAACTACATTGCTTTAAAGGTCTCCTATTATACTGTCTCAGATATATACAGAGCCTGTCTCTGATTGGCTGAAACACCAAACAGATCATTGCAGCATTACCCATAATCCCCTCTGTTTCAGCCCTGTTTCCAAAGTGCTGATTCTCTGTCTGTTACTTTAGATGAAAATAAGGAGCCACTCCCCACGCCCCCCTTTGGTTGCTGATTGGCTAATGGTTACACAAGACAAAACATCGTTATGACATCATAAAGTGGCCAAAATCTGATCAGCTCATTTTCAGACAGGTTTTTATAAAAATGGATCAAAAAGAGAGAGAATCTTTGTTCCTGAAACTTTCAGAATCTCTTTCCACAGAGGGGACACATGTTGATGAAGAAGAGACATGAAGAAGAGGGGACACATGTTGATGAAGAAGAGACATGAAGAAGAGGGGACACATGTTGATGAAGAAGAGACATGAAGAAGAGGGGACACATGTTGATGAAGAAGAGACATGAAGAAGAGGGGACACATGTTGATGTAGAAGAGACATGAAGAAGAGGGGACACATGTTGATGTAGAAGAGACATGGAGAAGAGGGGACACATGTTGATGAAGAAGAGACATGAAGAAGAGGGGACACATGTTGATGTAGAAGAGACATGAAGAAGAGGGGACACATGTTGATGTAGAAGAGACATGAAGAAGAGGGGACACATGTTGATGTAGAAGAGACATGAAGAAGAGGGGACACATGTTGATGTAGAAGAGACATGAAGAAGAGGGAACACATGTTGATGTAGAAGAGACATGAAGAAGAGGAGACACATGTTGATGTAGAAGAGACATGAAGAAGAGGGGACACATGTTGATGAAGAAGAGACATGAAGAAGAGGGGACACATGTTGATGTAGAAGAGACATGGAGAAGAGGGGACACATGTTGATGTAGAAGAGACATGAAGAAGAGGGGACACATGTTGATGAAGAAGAGACATGAAGAAGAGGGGACACATGTTGATGTAGAAGAGACATGAAGAAGAGGGGACACATGTTGATGTAGAAGAGACATGAAGAAGAGGGGACACATGTTGATGAAGAAGAGACATGAAGAAGAGGGGACACATGTTGATGTAGAAGAGACATGAAGAAGAGGGGACACATGTTGATGTAGAAGAGACATGAAGAAGAGGGGACACATGTTGATGTAGAAGAGACATGAAGAAGAGGGGACACATGTTGATGTAGAAGAGACATGAAGAAGAGGGGACACATGTTGATGTAGAAGAGACATGAAGAAGAGGGGACACATGTTGATGTAGAAGAGACATGAAGAAGAGGGGACACATGTTGATGAAGAAGAGACATGAAGAAGAGGGGACACATGTTGATGTAGAAGAGACATGAAGAAGAGGGGACACATGTTGATGTAGAAGAGACATGAAGAAGAGGGGACACATGTTGATGTAGAAGAGACATGAAGAAGAGGGGACACATGTTGATGTAGAAGACACATGAAGAAGAGGGGACACATGTTGATGTAGAAGAGACATGAAGAAGAGGGGACACATGTTGATGTAGAAGAGACATGAAGAAGTGGATTTTGCATAGTAGGTGACCTTTAAATCTGTGCAGGTGAAGGAGAGGGCTTTGTTTTAAATCCCCAAAAAGAAGTTGTCTTTCCAACTATTGTCGCAGTGCCCTTGAGCAAGGACCATTTACATGCATTAAAACCTATAGAAGACACTACAGGAGAGGGAACTAACCACAAAAAGGAGAATAGGGCCCCTTTAATACTTTGATATTGGGATGTCAACAGTAAGAGGAACTTTCAACATGATACGACTCTGTGTTGAAGGATCTAAATTAATGTTTAAAGTACAACGGAAATGAATCAGCAGAAAACGGAGAGTAAATATCTCTATGGAGGAAAACGTTACTGTGCAACAATCTGACCTTCAACCTTAAAGGGGACCTATCATGCAAAATGCACTTTGTGATGTCTTTTCTACATAAACATGTGTCCCCGGTGTGTCGGGGAACTCACGCAGCGTCAGAAAATAAAACCCTCTCTCTTTTCCTCCGTACCCAAATCTTTTAAAAACAGGGGAACAACGAGCAGATACAGATTTGCGTCCGATATGACGTAATATCGGATGGTGGACCCACAGAAAGTTGCTATCAGAAACAATGCCTGACGTGTTTTGGACGTAATCTTGTCTTTGTTTACATTAGCAAGCCTCGCTAACACTCAGAGCTAACCTGTACTGGAGACCATGTGTTTAAATAGCAGGAAATAAAAAAAGGAGCTCACCTTGTGATAAACCCGCAAGAGAAAAATCATTTGAGCTCCATACTGTTTCAGAAATAATTCTTGATGTGGTTTAGAACAGGGTTTTATCACAGCAGAATTTAACTTTATCTCCGGTAGAATTCTGATCAGGCATTAGCTCCGCCTCCTTTTTTTTTTTTTTTCAAGCTAAGGACCCAAAATCCGCGTTTCTCTAACAGGGCTTCAAAAGAGGGGTTTGAGCAGTATGAGGCATGGCTACAACGGGGCATCTGTTTGGTGTTTGAAGCAAAACACTTCACAGACATGTTTTGTATAGGTATGGCCCTACAATATATTTTTCCAATATAGCATAATAGGTCCCCTTTAAGATGTGTGTCTCTGCCCTTTGAGATGTTAAAAAACCTGAATGAATGCTTTTATGTTTGTTGGAAAGTTCAGGGTTGAGGATGAATATCAAATGAAGTGTCTCATCCATAAAGTTAATCGTGCGTTTCTATCTTTATTTATCTGCTTTTGTTTGTTTTCTCTTCATGCAACCGGTCTGCATCGTGCACGTTAACATGAAGAGCAACATGTTCATTAATGGGTATTGTCTCTTCTTAAATATATATATATAACTATATAACTCTTCACCCTTCAGTAAAGGGAACTGAGAACTTCCACACCATATTAGTATTATTATTAATAATGTTCAATAAATAACGTGCAGTTACGTAACTACCACGATGGTTTTTGCACTACTAAATACTATATATATTAAATTCATATTTACATTAATGATGTGACCGTCTGTTTCCTGTAGATATGTAATTGCTCTTTTTACGGCTCTGTTAGTGTACAGTTTTATTATTATGCTGCTGTGTTTGATGTATTTTTGTAACTTGCACAACTATTTCCTTCAGGATAAATAAAGTCCTATCTTATCTTATCTTAAATAAATACAAATACAGCGTACCTTTCCCTTGACGTTGACTCTGGCGTACGTTGTCTGAATATCCACGTCGATCAGAGAGGAGTCCATGTGTCTGTGAGAGGAATGGAGGTGGAGGTGAGTTTAATGATAATATGCCATAACTCTAAATAACAAATCACCTCTGGCTGGAAGAGAACTGGACTTAAAACATTCTCACTGTACATTTTATATTTATATGTAATTGAATATTCCATTCCATGCTCACTTGATGTAAATAACATCCTGCTTATATTGTGTTCAAAGAAAACTGGCCTTCAACAGTGTTTTTATTTGTCAGACAGTTTCTAGATTTTTTTATCTTCACGGTCATCTGTGTGGGGGAAACCTCTGAAGCAATTGGAAACAGGACTCAGAGAGACACGAGGAGAGCTGGAGCTTTGATGGCAAACACTGACGGTTTATTTGGAGCTTCGGCCGGAGAATTGACAAGACATGTGCTGTGTCACGAGTTGACACAGCGGTTGCCAAACCAATTCTGAAGAACTCTTCTGTAGTTCCAGGTTTTAACTAGTTCAGAGTGTAATAATCAACATTCTTTATCAGTGAGACTAAACAAATATGGACCCTGAATCTAACTAGAGCTCTCGTCCATAGGAAAGAATGTGCGCCAGGGAACCTACTCTCCCTGAACAGTAAACTACCTCATGGCGGCTTGTGCTCTGTCATAGACTGGCAACAACAATGCCCCAAGCTGCTCCTCCTTAAGAGAGATAGCAGTGATACCCAAGCTGCTCCTCCTTAAGAGAGATAGCAGTGATACCCAAGCTGCTCCTCCTTAAGAGAGATATAGCAGTGATGCCCAAGCTGCTCCTCCTTAAGAGAGATAGCAGTGATACCCAAGCTGCTCCTCCTTAAGAGAGATATAGCAGTGATGCCCAAGGCCGTAGACCTATGCCGTGGGAAAGGAGACAGTGCAGACAAAAACTTCCAAAATTGGGATTAATAAAGTACGTCTTATCCTATTTTAGTAGTGCTTTACATGAATCAGATGTACACACCTGTAATCTACTTAAGTCATGAAGTTGAGTCGTTTGAACTCTGTCAGGACTTTAAATTCTTTAAGTAATGACGGTTGTGAAGAGATATTTAATTTAGATCCTTTTTGATTTAAGGTAAAAAGTGTGAGTTAACCCACCGAAAGGAAACACACACAGCTAAGGAATATGTTCCGACTTTATTTGCAGTATTCGAAATTGGTTTCAGGAAAATATATATTGTTTCTTCAGAATTTTGAAATTATCAGGAACATTTTTTAATTCTTTCTTTTTCATTCCGACTTTTCTTCAAAAGATTCCGACTTTTCTTCAAAAGATTCCGACTTTTTTTCAGAAATCGGGAAAATATTAGTTTTTTTTTCTTAATTGCAAATATGGGAATAATATGAAGAAAATATGGATTTGAGACATAAAAACAGCTAAATAACCCCCAAAATGTGTTGGACTTTATCTACAAAGAGGCTTGAATTTTAAGATATTAATCAAAATATTGATAGACATTAATATAGTATAATCTATCGGGGGATTAACCATCAAACCATGCTGATTAATATCCAGTGTGGGCTCATCGTACCTGTACACCTCCAGGTTTAAGATAATCGTGTTGTTTACTTCATCTTCAGTTAGAGAGAAGTCCAGCCTGTGAACGCACAGAAAGAAATATAAATATAGTTTATTCCTTTATGTATATACAGTCTTTGAGTTTAACACAACTCAACTACCAACCTGGCTAAAACACGTTAGCATCGTTAGCATCTAAACTTCACATCTTAATGACACGTGTCCGTTCCTGGCTTAATGACACTGATCTCAAAGACTTGGGCTATCACTCATACACAATATTTTAGGACTTAAAAACAAAAGCTCTAACATTATATTTCACAAGCCCTTTTTTTTGTTTTGAGCAAAAAGTCTGAATTCTGACATTTTCAGGAAGAAATTTGAAAATATATTTTTTTATTTTCTGACCTATTTTTTTCTCTGAATTCGAACATTCTCAGAAAAAACTATATCTTTTTCAGAATTCTGGCTTTTTTTCAGAATTCGGGAAAATAATTTACTTCGGAATTCAAAATTAATGTGTCCCCAGTCTTCTTCTGTACTTGCATTTCTGCCCAACATATAAATACAAAACGAGATGGAAGTTCAAACTAAACATCCATACAGATAAAAAACCTGCAGCTTCAGTTCAGAGAATGGCTTTCCTTTAAGAGATATTGTTGCCCAGTAGCATCAATCTGCAGAAGGAGACTTCACAAGGCATTCATGGTAAGAAGTATCAACATCACAGACATGATGTTCTGACTCTTATTGTACCTTCTGCTGCAAAGTGATGCATCATATGAAGCACATGTCAAACTCAAGGGCTTCACAAATCAATCTAGGTTCTCAGTGTGTTTGGCACACACGGTGTTATCTGAAGAAGAACTGATGACCTTGCATCACAGAACAGAAGTCGGCCAACATGGAAGTATCGTTTTTATAATATGTTAGGACTTAAAAGCAAAAGCTCTAACATTACATTGTACTATAGTCTGTGATGAAGAAAGTTGGTGAACTGGAATAACTTTAATGAACCACAACATTTTTCAATAAATGGTGTTTCTTGCATAGAGAAGAGGACTTGTGATTTTTTTTTTTATCTGACCAAAAGTTATTATTTTTTCGTTTTGAGCAAAAAGTCAGAATTCAGATTTGTTTTCTCCGAATTCCGAAATGTTCAGGAAGAAATACAAACAAAACTAAACAGAATTCTAACTTTCGATCTAGGTTCTCAGTTCTCAGTGTGTTTGGCACACACGGTGTTATCTGAAGAAGAACTGATGACCTTGCATCACAGACCAGAAGTCGGCCAACATGGAAGTATCATTTCTAGATCTATGAAGTTGAATGCAAAGTTAATTCGTCATTTTTAGGGTTTTAGGGGAAATTGAGTTTGACACACCTGATATATACTGTAGGCCCAATTCCAAACCACATCCTCCCCACTCCCCCTCCGTCTGTAGTCACACTTGCAGCTAAATGAAGCTCAGCGCAAGTTCAATCAGGAAGACCAAGCTCTTCATTCAGATTACACGTCACCACATTACATTACATTACACTCATTAAGTGATCGGGGGCGTCACTCCCCAGCTAACCAATCACTCCTCTCTCCATTCTCACAAGCCGATCATAGCTCCCGCTAATCCCTTTATATCTGCTCTTCCCTCTGCCAGCTGTCATTTCAGGTGACAAAACGCAACCCTCCTCCACCCCTTTCGCCTCCCGTCTCCTACAGGACCAAGCTAAACCTTCTCCCTGCAGTCCGTTCCCACCTACTTATCACCACCACCAGTGTTTAGACCCCGGGGGTTTCATCGGAGCGGTTCTTCCCCCTCCTGAATGATTATCCTACTGGGGCCTAAACACCATTTTATTCTCCTGTTATAATTGTGGCAATCATTATTCATTCATTTATGTGTCCCGGTAATAAATATGTATTCCATACACCCTGTACATATACAATAGCGGCAAGCTTTGGAACAAACTCCCTTCTCTCCGGCAGAAACAGGAAATGCCGTAATTTTAGGTTTTCAAAAGTTTTAGTTTCAAGTTTTAAGGCTTTTATTGTCATGTGTACATATAGTGTAGTTATGACAATGAACATCTGAGGTCACAGGCTCCTCCAACATTGCAACACAATAAAACAGATCAAATAGTGGAAGTAAACAAAAATAAACTAGAATATAAATAGTGCAAGGAGAGTCTATATGCATGTTATTTGAATCCAGGTAACAACGGTTTCAAATCAGCATCTCTTGGAAAAAAAATACAAATAAAATAGAACTCTTTTTACCTTTTGTAAACCTGATGTTTATAAGTTTCTTAGTTTTTGCAACAGTCAGTAAATATACACATCATTATAATAAAAAGCACACATTTACCTTTCTCTAGAACACAGGTCCTAAGTCAAGACAATATGAGGTTACCATGAAGTTGTTTACATCTCTATGACGATATGTCTTAATGTACATTATTTTATTTCATATTCTGTTCTTGTACATATCATATTCTATTGACATGTATATAGACTTTTTGCACTACTTTTTATTTTGTATTTTATTATATATGTTGCATTGTTGGAGGAGCTCAGGTCAGAAGAATTTCATTGCCATTTCTACCCTGTAGCTGCTGAGCATATGATGATAACACCTTTGAACTAGGGCTTGATAACCCACTCCCCCTCATCACTCGTTGGTTTGGAACAGACCTTAATGTGTGGGAAGTAGTTGAGTACAAATACTTCGTTACTGTACTTAAGTACATTTTTCTGGTATCAGTACTTTACTCCACTACTTATTTTTCTGGAACACAAATACCTGTACTTTCTACTTCTTACATGTTGAACACAAATACCTGTACTTTCTACTTCTTACATGTTGAACACAAATACCTGTACTTTCTACTTCTTACATGTTGAATACAAATACCTGTACTTTCTACTTCTTACATGTTGAACCCAAATACCTGTACTTTCTACTTCTTACATGTTGAACACAAATACCTGTACTTTCTACTTCTCACATTTCCCAAACAGGCTGGTTCCTTTAGTTTGAATGTGTGTTTGGTGGCGTGATCATTATTATTTAGAGTCATTGCGTGCCTATTGATTTGAACACGATCCGTGTATCCATCATTTCCTGGTCTTCTCTAAAGAAGAGGGACCAATGAAAACGTTGTCATGTTGCCGTTGTTCAGCATGGAAACATTCATTAGCTAACAATGACATTATTGTTCTATTAATATAAAGGGAGGTCAGGTACTCTTTAAAACAGCTGCTAGTTATGGGTACTTTTTACTGAAGTACATTTCAAAGCCCTCTTTACTTTTACTTGAGTAAAGAAGTTTAGTCAGTACTTCTACTTTTACCAGAGTATTTTTAAACACGAGTATCTGTACTTCTACTTGAGTAAAGGATGTGTGTACTTGTACCCTCTCTGGAGAACATGCAAACGGAGAGGTAGTGTGTAGGGGGGGCGGTTTGGAACTGGGTCTTTGAATATATTCCTGACCTCAGTGTGTCTGCGGCTCAGATTTAAATCAGACTGGGTTTAAGGCCTTGACCCCTGGATGATGGAGGGGATTCTGGGATGGCCCCAAGCTATCAGGACCCCCCCCTCCACACCTACACCCACAAACACTCCCAAATACAGCAAACCAATCAAAAAAACCAAGGCCGCCTATAAAGCAATCACACAGCACCTGGTGTTTTCCCCCGCCTCGCTGTCAGATGGAAAAGGTAATCGAGTCTTTCAAAGAAAACACATGACAGTTTTGAAGAACTGCGAGAGGAAACCGTTCTGGATTGGAGCCGTTTCCTTTCTTATTCTTTGGGAAACAAAATTGAGGCGGTTGATTGAATGTGTTCTGCTGCGTTTGCTGCTTTAACTGAGTGGATCGGTCCATGTTCTACACAGTCAATCAGCTGCAACACTGCTACGTGAAAACTACTGACATGAGATCTTACTAGTGTTGTTAATGCTTCTCTAACACACTGGTTATATACTCGGTTACAAGTCAAAGTATATGCAAGTTTAACCAGGAAAACTGTAATGTCTTATATCATGAGATGATTATCACGAATGCATTAAAGTAACATAATTGATGTTTTTGGTTTTGTTGCAAATAAGTAATGATTACAGAGTGATGTGGCTTTATAATTGAGTCCAAAATAAAGTCATTGAGATCGTTAACTACTTCAAATGTTGATAGAAAAGGTTTACTTGGGCTCGTTGACGTTCATCACTCGTCCTTCAGCGGTGATCAACGTCCTCGGGGGCTTCGGCTTCTTCTCTTTCCCCCTGCAGGGAAACAGCAAAGCATGATGTTACTGTGTGTGTGTGTGTGTGTGTGTGTGTGTGTGTGTGTGTGTGTGTGTGTGTGTGTGTGTGTGTGTGTGTGTGTGTGTGTGTGTGTGTGTGTGTGTGTGTGTGTGTGTGTGTGAGAGTTATGAGGTCTTTGGGGTGAAGGAGAGAGCCATCTTTCGTAGATGAGCGATGAGCGTCCATAATGAGAGACGCAACATATCATATGCAATAAAGGATTGTGCTGTAGGACACAGACACACACACACACATATAGCCCAACATTAGCCTCCTTTAGCTTAGCGGTGGTGACGTGAAGTCATGTGACCGTGCTGTAGTTCCTTTATAGCCCAACATTAGCCACCTTTAGCTTAGCGGTGGTGACGTGAAGTCATGTGACCTTTGCTGTAGTTCCTTTATAGCCCAACATTAGCCACCTTTAGCTTAGCGGTGGTGACGTGAAGTCATGTGACCGTGCTGTAGTTCCTTTATAGCCCAACATTAGCCTCCATTAGCTTAGCGGTGGTGACGTGAAGTCATGTGACCGTGCTGTAGTTCCTTTATAGCCTAACATTAGCCACCTTTAGCTTAGCGGTGGTGACGTGAAGTCATGTGACCGTGCTGTAGTTCCTTTATAGCCTAACGGAATAATCCCATTGGCTTTTTGTGGAGGGAACCAGGGGGATGCTACCTTCAAATATACACCATCCCTGATTCTCTCTATCCACCAGAAAACAGAGGCTTTGCAGAAAGTCCTCTTTTCAGCATTAGAGGAAAGACTTCAGTTTTCAAGCCAACTGAAATATATATTATGAAACTCCTCCAGGTGGAACTACATCACTCAGAGTTGGAGTATTTTAAAAGTGAAGCCACTCAGAGCATCCTCCTGCAGACCAGCAGCTCTACAGACAAATGATTAAATGCGTTCTCTTCACCGTCTGCTATAAAGCCACTCCATTAGCCACATGCATGGAATGCCACTTCACATATGTCCCTCTATTAGGCCCACTGAACGGCGGATGAATGAGTTTGGGGGTCGAGGCGTTTAGCACCGTGCATCACAGACAGAATGTGACAGTGTGTGGGAAGAGTTTGGTGGAAATGTACTGAAACAAACCATTAAATAATAATGAAATTGTGAGGAAACTTTCCGTTATACAGAAATGAAGATTCTTAGAATAAGATGGTCTTTTATGGAGTTTATTGGTAGGTAATCAAATCAAATCAAATCAAATCAAGTTTTATTTATAAAGCACATTTAAAAGCGATTTTTGGTCGAGCCAAAGTGCTGTACATGTAATAAGGTAACACCATGGTGAACGAGTGAGGCAGATAATTGGTGGTTATTTGTGGTTTCAATGTGTGAAATGTGAAGACTTTCAGTGTGTGTGTGTGTGTGTGTGTGTGTGTGTGTGTGTGTGTGTGTGTGTGTGTGTGTGTGTGTGTGTGTGTGTGTGTGTGTGTGTGTGTGTGTGTGTGTGTGTGTGTGTGAGCCAGAGGGCAAGTATCCACTTCAAAAGACCACACCATAAGGATCATCTGTGCCTCCCAGGAGCTTTTCCCTCCATCTCTTCCTAAGCTGTACACTGATGTCTTATCAAGGTCACAGTGTGTGTCTCTGCTCCATAAAATCTTCTTCTTTAACTTTTTATTTTCTCCAAAGAGGGAGTGACAGGGCGTCTATCAAACAGCTGAGTCATGGAGACATCAGCAGTGACAGCTTTAGTGGAGTCCAGAGCTGAGGACGATCCGTTCAGACAGCTTTCAGTTAGCCATGTACGACTCTGAGGTCTAAATCTGCACCGAGTTTATCTACAAAACTACTATTGCTGAACAGAGGACTTTCTGCAAAGCCTCTGCTCGCATGTTAGAATCTCCCTGGTTCCCTCTACAAAAAGCAATGGGATATTTTCATGTGATTTCGTATTACTGGCGGCAAATGTTGGGCTTTAAAGGAACTACAGCACGGTCACATGACTTCAAGTCACCACCGCTAAGCTAAAGGAGGCTAATGTTGGGCTATAAAGGAACTACAGCACGGTCACATGACTTCACGTCACCACCGCTAAGCTAAAGGTGGATAATGTTGGGCTATAAAGGAACTACAGCACGGTCACATGACTCCACGTCTCCACCGCTAAGCTAAAGGCGGCTAATTTTGGGCTATAAAGGAACTACAGCACGGTCACATGACTTCACGTCACCACCGCTAAGCTAAAGGTGGCTAATGTTGGGCTATAAAGGAACTACAGCACGGTCACATGACTTCAAGTCACCACTGCTAAGCTAAAGGCGGCTAATTTTGGGCTATAAAGGAACTACAGCACGGTCACATGACTTCACGTCACCACCGCTAAGCTAAAGGTGGCTAATGTTGGGCTATAAAGGAACTACAGCACGGTCACATGACTTCAAGTCACCACCGCTAAGCTAAAGGTGGCTAATGTTGGGCTATAAAGGAACTACAGCACGGTCACATGACTTCACGTCACCACCGCTAAGCTAAAGGTGGCTAATGTTGGGCTATAAAGGAACTACAGCACGGTCACATGACTTCACGTCACCACCGCTAAGCTAAAGGTGGCTAATGTTGGGCTATAAAGGAACTACAGCACGGTCACATGACTTCAAGTCACCACCGCTAAGCTAAAGGTGGCTAATGTTGGGCTATAAAGGAACTACAGCACGGTCACATGACTTCAAGTCACCACCGCTAAGCTAAAGGTGGCTAATGTTGGGCTATAAAGGAACTACAGCACGGTCACATGACTTCACGTCACCACGTCCAAAACTCTAGGTTTGCAAATCACAAATGGGTACGTCTAAATATGTGAAGCTCTCCAGCCCTCCAGATGAATTCATCTCTTCAAAAATGGCTGTTTTTTGCCACTGAGCCATATCCTCCATCATATGATATTTAACAGGCTCTTTTTACCCACATAATGATGAGATTAGAGTAAGACTGCAGCAGCATGTTATATTAGGATTGAAGGTATTTTCTCAACAATGACTTTAGGTTATCTAAAATCCAATGGAATAGCTTAGCATTATTCAGTGCTATCAATCACGTTTTAATACCATGTCACTTTAGGTGTCTCATAGCTGCAGGTAAAAGAACGGCACACATTTATCAGCTGTCAGTTTCCTCCACCTCGAAGCCTCTGCTGTGTTTCAGTTATGCAGGTCTGCTGCTCCAGAGGGCAAAAGTACACACATCCTTTACTCAAGTAGAAGTACAGATACTCACTCAAATACTCTGGTGAAAGTAGAAGTACTGACTAAACTTCTTTACTCAAGTAAAAGTAAAGAAGTATGGGCTTTGAAATGTACTTCAGTAAAAAGTACCCATAACTAGCAGCTGTTTTAAAGAGTACCTGACCTCCCTTTATATTAATAGAACAATAATGTCATTGTTAGCTAATGAATGTTTCCATGCTGAACAACGGCAACATGACAACGTTTTCATTGGTCCCTCTTCTTTAGAGAAGACCAGGAAATGATGGATACACGGATCGTGTTCAAATCAATAGGCACGCAATGACTCTAAATAATAATGATCACGCCACCAAACACACATTCAAACTAAAGGAACCAGCCTGTTTGGGAAATGTGAGAAGTAGAAAGTACAGGTATTTGGGTTCAACATGTAAGAAGTAGAAAGTACAGGTATTTGGGTTCAACATGTAAGAAGTAGAAAGTACATGTATTTGTGTTCAACATGTAAGAAGTAGAAAGTACAGGTATTTGTGTTCAACATGTAAGAAGTAGAAAGTACAGGTATTTGTGTTCAACATGTAAGAAGTAGAAAGTACAGGTATTTGTGTTCAACATGTAAGAAGTAGAAAGTACAGGTATTTGTGTTCAACATGTAAGAAGTAGAAAGTTCAGGTATTTGTGTTCAACATGTAAGAAGTAGAAAGTATAGGTATTTGAGTTCAAAATGTAAGAAGTAGAAAGTACAGGTATTTGTGTTCAACATGTAAGAAGTAGAAAGTATAGGCAGTGGCGGCGCCAGAGCATTTTTGTTGGGTAATCTATGGTAGGGCTAACCCATACTGTGGTGGGGCTCAAATCAGTATTTGCAATGTAATTACATACACGCTATATCGCCCCCCTTGACAGTGAAACGCCACGCGTGAGGTTTAGATTATTTCCCTGTCTCAATCAAAATGGAACTGTATGAAATAAAACGGCACATTTGTCTTGAAGTAAATAAAAAGGGATCACTGTGAACGTGACGTATGATAGTACACGTTGAAGATCCAATGGGGATACTGAATGGCGGTTTCGATTGATCTCAATCAATAAGGCATAACGCAGATCCAACGTTTCGTTGCTCTGATTGGCTGTAGGTCTATTCAAATTGCATTCGGAGGCATTTTGATCTGACCGCGGCCGCGCTGATATTATAACGCCAGAGAATTTCCACACCTTTAGTGTATAAAACTCCCCCACTACTTAGACTATTCCTTGCACCCCTCTTATAGCATAGGCCCGAATGGTCTCAACCATATTGCATCAGTAACGTGCACTTGTTGTTACAGCAGGATCAGTTTGTGTGCTGTGGACACGACCCGTATATTTTCGCAATCCGTGTTCTCAACATTTAGCATTTCGCTTATTATTTAATTGAATTTGCATCACTTTTCATGGTGGGGCTAAGGTGGGGCTAAGCCATTTCTTGGTATGGCTGTAGCCTACCCCAGCCATACCCTGGCGCCGCCACTGAGTATAGGTATTTGTGTTCAACATGTAAGAAGTAGAAAGTACAGGTATTTGAGTTCAAAATGTAAGAAGTCAAAGTAAAAAGTGGTCAGAAAAATAAGTAGTGGAGTAAAGTACTGATATCAGAAAAATGTACTTAAGTACAGTAACAAAGTATTTGCACTCCAATACTTCCCACCTCTGCATTAAACAAAACTGCATCTCCCGGCTGACCTTATCAAAGGAAATTCATCTTTCCTGACAATCCAGTGACTGCACGCATCACGTCAGCG